AAAGACACCAGCCATTAAGGCATTCACTATGATAAGTGTCCCTCGTATGGACTTTGACATTTTTACATTCATGGCTCGCAAAGCAGCCGCACATGATAAATGGTGTCTTTTAGTGTTTTGTCCCATTAATTCTGCTTTTCTCCACCTTGAAGAGACATCTGTTAATGAACTTGCATTAGTTATCCCAAACTCCTATTAAATACATGCGGGTGAGACAGGTGTAAATATATAAATATGATAAAAACCTCAAATCACTTTCATGGAGATTGGGCATGAGACACTGTTCCCTTTCAACAGTCCTGTTGAGGCTGCACAGAAAAAAAACAAAAAAAACAGACATTTTCCAAAAACTCTCCTGGGTTGTCACAGAAGAAGCACAGACCATCTACTGGAACTGAAAACAGCACACGCCGTTCATTGGTAAAGCAATACTAAATCAGTCAATTCAGTCCGATGTCTTTATGATTTGCTGGAGTACAGCAGGGGAGTCGGTCTCCCTCTCTCGCTGAATAAACAAAAATTTGTTCAGCTCAAATAAAATTTGATGTGGAGATAATTTTGCGAGCGCACAGCACAAAGGTCTCAGTCATGTGCACAAGTACTGCACTTTGAGGGCAAATCAAATGCGAGCCCGACCAGGTAGTTCAACACATGGTGGACAAGATGACAGAGAGATATGGCTGCACGACTCCGCCGCTGGCTCCGGTGCCCATAAAACCGTCTGCTATCAGCTCTGTTTTTAGACCCTCAAAGATCACACATCACACCTTTTCAACTAAGCTTAACGGACCTTGTGAAACACGTCTTGTACGACAGCCAGTGTTCCAACATAAAAACAATTAAATCTGTTTCCTAGACCCACCATGATAGTGATAATCAGATTCTAAAATGTTTGCTTTTGCCTTTGGTCTCTTTGAAACCTGCTTCCAAAAATACTTTTGCTAATTTGACATGGAAACGGACTGATCAGAGATGAGAAGAATATGTGAGAAGAATGTTCCATTCATGTTTGAGTTAAGCAGTACACACATTCTTAATAATGATATTGGATATTAGGAAAAAAAGCTTTGGAGGGAAAGAGCTCGCTTGAAACAGTTAGTAAGCATTGACTTTATTGGAATCCAGTAAACTTTTATCCACACAAAAATCCTAATAACATCACAAATGAAAGCCCTCCAAACAGCACTGGAATAATGTCTCTGAGAAATATCTTTATTTCTCTAAGTGAAGTAACCTCTTCAGGAATTGTGGACATACTGTTTTCATCATTAAAAACCTTCAACTAAAGCCACCGAAAGGCGTCTCTAATCTGGTATGGCATCAGGAGATAGATTCTGGAGCTGTTCCACTTCCAATCTGACATTATGGATTAAACAGCGACCATCTGAGAGTTTGCTCACAAGTACGTTAGGCCGCAGCAGACGGCACAACTTGTTCTAAAACAAAACATATCACAAATACCTTGAAAACCCTGGGAACTGTTATAAGTTAGTTTGGTATCAGTCAATGTCTCAAGAGCAGTGTATTTCTTGGATGCAGTCTTGACAGTTGCAAGTGTACGGAAAATTTTGGAAAAACAAATGTCAGTTTTGCTCTCTGTTTCAGGACAGGAAGATCAAGGAATTCCCAAGCAGCCGACTGCAATCCTTGACATGCCTCAAGGGAAAGATAGAGTTGGAGTTTTTCAGATTAAAAAAACACTTGCACCGTATCATAAAACTCAACAGTTTCAAAACATGCACAAAGCTCAGAGATAAATTCCCTGTCATGCTTTCATTTTAAAAAGATAAATGTGTGTAAGCAGGCTCTTTGGAGAACAGAGAAATTCTTTGCCCGAAAAGATTACTTGCAAAGGAAAGTTCATCTTTCCTGAACGGAGGAAGACAGGGGACGAGCAGCTGTGCGCTGACATACAAAAAGTGGCCTTTTTGTGAGTGAGGCTCACAGTTCTTGGCCGCGATTCACTCAATCTGTGCACCGGCCGATAGTTGTGCTGTGGTGGTCATAAGTGGAAGAGCATGAGAGGCTACTGTCTTGCACAAGAGGCCACTTTTGATCTCTGAAACTCTTAATCTTTCCTTTTGTTACCTGGAAAAAGGACCATGAATTATTCAGCCCACATAGGAATCCCCTGAAAAACATCAACACACACGTGGAAATTTGTGAAAAGACACAGTCCTTCGGAAATAGCTTCAAATGTGCAACTCCCCTCTGAGGAATCTCGCTTCTTTTCAATCAAGCATCAGTGTGTCTTGTGTATGATATCAGATTTTCCTCCTTTGAAGTGAAAGGCTCAAAACGCCTACATGTCAACCGTTTGCCATCCTCTTTCTTCTGTTTTCCTCTCCACAGAGCCAACAATAGACTGTACGGCCCTGCTCTTCCTTTCACCTAGACACTTGCTCAGTCCCACATATGACAACAGCCCATGTTTACCTCCTGACGTCCACCCCACGCATCCTGTTTGCGGCAGCATCCTCCATTGTTCCCTTCTGTATCTACCTGAGCAGATATAAACACTATTTTCCAGCGTTGCTGCGGTCGGGAAGTATGTTGGGTACAGTGAAAAGAATCCCTGCTTGTGTGCTTTTGTTTTGCTATCAATATTTACCGCTGTAAGTGGATGGAAAAAGGAGGGGAGGATGGAAAAAGCAACTGATGAATACAGAGTGCCAAAAAAAAAGAAGCCACACAAAGAGAAAACCACCAATAAGGCAAAGATGTCTGGATTTAGTCTGATAAAAGACTGGAAAATAGACTCTTTTTCCATGTTTTTTTTTTCAAGGGGGGGCGGGTGAGTGAAGTCAAGAGCCCACATTTTTTTTATCAGAAAAGGGACACTTTGGTGAGAAGCCCCTCAGCTGATGTCACCATGAAGGAAGCCCTTTGAAGAGGATGAGGGCCGAGGGACATCTAGGTATCACAATAGGTGTTGTTTGCCGGCAGCATCACAGGGACATGACGCTATTCCTATGGGGCCTCACAAAATGCTGTAAATTTGCTATAACATGAGAATCATGATGAGGGGCCTCTGCAAAGTGCACCATCAAAGTGATGGTGATGTGTTTGTGCGATCATGGGTGGGTAAACGGAATTAAGCCCAGTGTCTAAAAAGATTTCGTTTTTGTTTTTTTGTATCTAATGATTAACTGCAATGGGAACGTTTGGAATCGTTGTTCTTTTCTCTCTAACATTTCCAGGCAAGCTCTAATGGTTGATTTGCATCAACCATCGGGACATTCAAACTTTCCATCAACAATTCATCAGAGTATTGAAGACATCTATCAGGGCTGAGAAGCATGGCAGCACTGCCCTCTAGTGTTTATGATTCCATCACTTCAGTTCTTTACATATTTATGTTTGGGAAATGCATGCAGCTCTGCCTGTAATCCTCATAATCTTGAAAAAGAAGAAAATCTCACATTCAACATGTCTCTATCATCTCATCTTTCCTGTGTGATTGTATGTTGGACACAGGTATTTCTACAGGTGCACATCCCTCCTGGCATTTAGGTATTTGCTTTGAACCCTGGTTTAAAGATAGCAACAGATATCTGCATGAAAGGACACCCCCCCACCTGTGATGCTCGGTGGAAAGCAGCGGTGCAAGTGAATAGTTTTGTTTGTCTCCGACTCATGAGGGCTCAAAGTTATACTTTATCAGATAATTGAATATGAGAACAAGTGTCTCATTCGTTCCGGTCAGTTGAGGAGCAAATGAGGCGGAAAGGACACAAACACTTATCCTGTGACTCACAGTGTTGTTTGGAATCTCTCAAATCAAATACAGGGAATCTGGTGAAAACAAATCCCACACACATGTTGGGCTTGCTGATTAATCTACACAAGGAAATCAGCTTGAACTAAACCAACTTGAATGGATAGATCATTTATGTAGACGTTAACAAACGATTGTAGAAATTGTTGTCAGTTGGACGGTAATCTGATAAGAATGAGAGTCATGTATTAAAAGAACATTCAACAAGCAAGACCAAAAGCCACTGGAGGGATCATATACATCCCTTTTGGTAAAGGATGCCTCAAGAACTCATCATGAGGCACTGGAGAGTCTTGGTGAAGTTAAGGGGGGACAGTACTGCCTCCAGTACCTGCTGCTTCCATGATCTCCACACGCTTTTGGTTGTAAATATGTAGAAATAATAGAAATTTTAAAGGGTTGTACTCACCCATAATGTATATATCGACAGATTAAAGGTAAAACATACATTTAACTTATTCAAAAAGTCTCTCTAACTCAAAATACATTTATATCTCCTTCCAAAATTACAGATATCACCTTCAGGACAGTGGATATCTTTCTAAAATGCTTTTTCAAAATACTTCAGATAAAACATAACTCAGTAGCCCTGGGTGTCATCCCTGTGTGGGTAAGGATTTAGTGTTTTATTCTAAGGTGTCTTCCATAACAGAAAGAGACATATATGTTGTTAAACCCAAGTAAAGGGGCCACTTGGTTTTTTTCAACGTGTCAACAAATCGCACTATTCTTTATGGCCACCAGGAGGCAGTATTTATCTGTCAATTATCTGCAATTCAAAGAGCCAATTTTTGGTCTTTTCTCCCTCTCATGAAAGTCCTTTTTTCCACTAAGCTTTCCTGTCACATGCTGCTGAAGACAAAGAGGACAATCTGACCCACTCTTACGTAATCTGGCAACACAGATGTTTTTTGTTTATTCATGTTGCCTTCTTGGTAATTATTATTTGAATGTCTTATGCAAACTTCCAATTCATTTAAACCACCCACGGTCGTTTAGGAACAGTTAATCGCCTCCCTCCTCATAGCCTGCTGTGGAAAGAATAAAAATCTTAAGGTAATGCACTCATAATGCCCTGTGGTGTCACACAAATGAACTTAGAGCATGCACGGGCAGCTTCAGCCTGCAAGGGCTGGGAAGATTAGAACCAGATGTTCACTGGGAACCAGTTACCAAGAGGAGGGCCCTTTGGGTCCGTGGGAGGAGCTTTGTTCTCTATCTCTTGTCCAGATTTCTTCTAACAGGTAGTTTGAAACCAAACAGATCGAGAGCAGCCACGTCGAGACAACCGAAGCGGACCTTTGACTGAGTCTCCCGGGGGTCCGGATCGGGCCGCGGTGCGCTCCTGGGCATGCTGGGCAGGAAGGGCTCCTGCGCGGGGGTGATGAGCGCTGCCGCCGGGATGGAGCGCGGCAGGGTCGGGGAGAGGCTGCAGGCTGCCCTGGCCGGGCTGCAGGAGCTGCATCTGCTCAAGGACAGGCAGAGCGACATGGTGAGCTGGGCGCTCCGGATGGACCGGGAGGAGCCGGTCTCATCGCTCCACGCGGAGCCGGAGAGCGCGCGGATGATGGGGGGAGAGGAGCTGCGGCTGGAGGCGACCCTCACCGCCCTGAAGCAACAGCTGGTAGGAGAGAGTTTTATCCCAAAGCCGTAAAAAGGATTTGAACGTCCCTCCAGGGACATGACAAATCCAGTAGAATGTGTTTTTTTTTTTTAATCATTTGTCGCTGTCAATTATGAAGAAAAACATGTAACTATCACGTTTACTTTCCTGTTATTAATGAAGTTGTTATTATTAGTAGTATTATCATTAATTTAGTCCTGGCATTTAAATCGCCCGTTACCATCATCCCATCAGCTGATGCTCATGTGAATTCCCTTTGCAATTATTACCAGACGCACTTTCATGCTCTCAGCTGGGGGTAGGAAGTAGGATAGGTGTCATAAATCAAGGTTCACTGTAGGGCCCGGAGGACTTCTTAGCTGTGTGTGCGCGCGTGCTTAGTGCACGAGGGCTTCAGGAGGGGTAAATCTCAATCATTAACCACTAAATGCCAGGAAATAAAAACAAATGCGAATTTTGCTGTGAATGAGAGGTGAGTCTCATCCCCAAGAGGCCCCCCGAGTGCTGGAGACAGCTGGCTCTGTGAGTTTTCCATGACAAGCTTTTTCCTAAACCCAGGCTGCTGTTAAAGTCATTCCAAGCAAGTGAGGGATTAATGTGTTATGCTTGACATGGATAGCAGGGCTGGGCACATGCATCAAAGGATACATTAGAAAGTTCTGAGGCTGCATAAGGTATAGATTATCTTTTTTATTCAGGCAGAATGGAGAATTCACCACAAGCTGCCTTAAAAAAACAGTAATTTCAGATCATTTTCAATTGATGTTATGTGATTTAAAGATAATGAAATAAAATGTCAACATGATAGTATAGATTTTATTTTAAGAATGACTGTAACAGTAGATTTACTCCCGCTATAAAACATGCAGGCTTTTCATCCCAACCCCCAAGCCCTTCTCCTGTAGTAGTTTACACAATGGCCAGGCCTTCGCTGTGGGGGAGAAATGAGTTACCCACCACTGCTTCTTCCATGCTCCCCCATGTCCTGCTGGGGTTAATAATCAGCCACAGCTGAGCTGCTTTTGTTTTCCTGATGGCTGTACATTACAGCTTCTTTTAAGATATCATCCCTCTGCTCAATCAAATTATGACAATCACAAGCATTTGTTCACTCGCCCGGAAAGTTCCAGTTCTAACATGGAATCCTAGTTTGATTTTTTTTTCTTCACAACTCCAAGGTTTCAAATTTCCTCTTGTTGAGGAAATCTCTGATAGATGCACTCTTTGCAGCAGTATGCACTGTTCGATTTTGTATAGGCCCTATTTATAATTCTATGCCTTGTCTGTTTTAAAGTCTCGTCTTCGGAAACAGGATGTGGGCCTAAAGACACACTTGCAGCAGCTGGATCAACAGATCAACGAGCTGAAGTTGGATGTGAACAAAGCCTCCACAGAGCAGCTTGAGAGTGACAGCAGGCCGAGTTCAGGTATGAAGACATATGCACATTTCATTAAACAGCATGCACAATCTACAAACATTCACCTGTAACTATTCTTGCGTCCTGCAGGTTTCTATGAGCTGAGTGATGCCGGCTCTTGCTCCCGCTCCAACTCCTGCACCTCCGTCTACAGTGAGTGTCTATCCTCCTCTCAGACGAGTCTCATTCCCATCAGTCCCGCTAGCTGTCACATTAGCCAACCGCCACAAGCTGATGTATGCCGCCGGCGCTCTGCTGATGAGAGCACCACCCAGGCCAACCCACCACGGGCAACAGGCCTCCATCTGGGCAGCAGCAGGATCCGAGCAAGTGCTATAGGCACAGAACAGACACGGCCAAGACCTGTGTCAACAGGTAATAATGGTTCTCAATCTCTTATTTAAGACATCCACTCCAGTAGTAATGAGAACCATGGATCACCAACTGTTTTAACGAAGCAACTCAGCATGTATTTTTCTGGCTAATAGCATATAATCTTCGTGTGGGTTTGAAGGATGATGACTGTTTTTGTGTGTTTCAGGGGACCTCGACAGAATGATGTCACAAGGGTTTGGCTACTTCAAATCCGTGGATGCCAAGAAACCCCCGGTGTGCCCAAACCTGAAGACAACCCCAATGGACTCCAAGTTCCAGCGCAACCTGGAGTCCCGCAGTGGGAGTGAAGTGTATCATTATCCAAGTCCCCTGCATGCTGTGGCTCTCCAAAGCCCAATTTTTTTCTCTGGGGGTGATGCTGACACTCCTGAGATTCTAGAGGGCCAAGGAGCCACAGTAAACTGTTATGATGCGGGGCATGACAACAAAACATTGGGTTACATTGACAAACTCCTCCACCGCAGCTTGAATAAAACCCAGAGTGGAACAGGCACAGACCCAAAGGAGTTCCAGCTTAACCATCACAGGAGCCCTGCTGAAGAAGTAAATGTGCTGCTTGAAGCGCCTCAGAATGATGGGTCTATTCCACGGTCTCTTTCAACCAAAAACAGAAGCATCAACCCACAAGACATTGACCAGAGGAGACATTGCCTGACACACTCCGGCATGGAGCCATCTGATAACACAAGCTATAAACAGTTAGTGAAAGCCCCAGACACTCCACACCGGTACTCCTATCCAGCAACAAAGGAGTATACATCAGATGAGGTCACATATTCATCCCTGAGAAAGAGTCAGAAACACCAAGCAGAAAATGCAAGAATAATGAGGAACCCTCCTGATAAAAAATGTGGAGACAATCAAGGCTCAAGACCACAGCAGAGTAACATCAACTGGCACAGACCTGTGGTGAGTCACAGCTCCAGCACAGAGGAGAGTCAAGGCTTTGAGCTCCACAACGCTCACGCCGGCTCACCTGAGTTTGTCCATGCCAAATTTGTCCCCGCGGGGTCTCAGAGGGTCAGGGTTAGACAAGCGGACCGTAAAACCAAAGCTATGAAACTCAAAAGAAAAAGCAGTGACAAGTCTCGAGCAGCGAGGCAACAACAGGGCCTCCCATCTGGGGACAGGGGGAGGGAGATGAACGCTGGAACCAAAGCAGAGCAGAAAAGGTTAGGAAAAGGAAAGGCCGCCGAGAGAGTCCCCACCTGTCACACAGAGGAGCACAGACACGGTTCAGGCTCCGACTCTAGTGTCTACAGTCCGGGACTCACAATCAACCGGACGGTCCACCCTAAGCAACCGCCTCCCGCTATGAAGTTCAACAGAGGCCACAGCCTGCAGCACCTGGAGTACGAGCATCCTGTGGATCCAAGGAAGAGAAGGCAGACGACACCCAAATGGCCGTCCGGCGGGGAAATGTTCCAGGCACCAGGCGCTCAGCGTCACAGGTCAAAAGAGCCCCACGCTCCGACACCAAGAAACATGCAGATGGTCCGTAGTATGAGTGTCAGGGCTGGCCAGTGGATGGGACATCCACGTCCCTTCCAGGCCTCCATGTCCTCCAGTTCTTTCCTTCACTGCCTTAACGCCAGATACCCGTCAGCACCGTATCACGTGTCCAACCACTACCCGCCAAGATGTGAGTCCGAGTATTCAGCTGAGTGCGCCTCGCTGTTTCACTCCACCATCGCAGAGAGCAGCGAGGGAGAGCTGAGCGACAACACGACCAACCGCTTTGGAGATAGCGAGTCCAGCCAAAGTTTTCACTCCTTCTCGGACTCCGACAGCAGCCTGTCCTTGGACGAGGGGGACCAGATAGACATCCATGAGGAGGGAGTTCTGGTGTGGGCTGAGGCTGCATTGGGGCCCACTGCCGCGGGGCAGCCCATCAAGCAGCTCCCGGCCCGCCCGGGGCCGTCGGCCTGCCGCATCAAAGCCTCCCGAGCCCTGAAGAAGAAGATCCGGCGATTCCAGCCCGCCTCCCTGAAGGTCATGACCCTGGTGTAGACAAGATCCCCCCCGGGGCAAAACGTGGATTCCTGGGAAAACCACAGAGAGCTGTGGGAAAGGGTTTCCCAAACTGTTTTGATAGATCTCAGATAGTCTCTCATATGTCTGAGCAACATCCTTAATCCAAGTTGGACTGATTGGTTTTTGGGGGTTTGGGGTTTTTTTTGTTTTTGTTTGGTTGGTTGTTTTTTTTTAGAATGGAGAAACTTTAATGGTGAAACCTGAAATTGTACAAAATAATGAGTGTGCATAAGCACGTGTAACACTATAATCACACTTAAACCTCAAGTTATAATGCTTATATCGTTGGAATTTGAATTTGTCATTGCATGCGCTTGATTTGTCATTTATAACTGCCATAAAAATCTTAACGTTGCTTTTTTGCAAATAGCTATTCCTTTTATTCTATGTTTTTTTTCCTCATCACAGCAAATATTCATGTTGGCTTTATGGGAATAAACTGATATTTAATATTCGGTTGGTTTTCTGTTCTGTGTTTATCCATCCCACATCTCTTGGTTTGGGACAGCTCCACCCCTTGTATGAACACCACCAAAGTCCAGTCCTTTGTGAGTTAACTTTGTCAAAATTATCTCACCTTCTTTCTTTTCCAGGTGGTTGTTTATCTGGAAGAATCTCCAGACAAATGGCCCACTAAAATTGACCAGTTTGGCGTAGACAGGTCTTGCTTATCTCCTTATCTGGTTTCCTGTCACCGCCACCACCGTTTAGTTTAATAGACGGCACCTCTAATGATCAAACCATACAGTCATGTTTAATGAGATGGTTTCCTTCATCTGGTAGTAAGTAAACGTGCGGGAAAGCAGTAAAGTAAACACAGTTTTATGGTTGAACAAACAGACATTAAGCTGACGATTGTGGAAGTCCAGGTTTATGGAGGACGCGCAGTCTCGCAACAGTATGTGCTCGTGAGGGTCACACAGGATTTAGAAGGATTGACAGATGATAACAGGTTAGTCATTTCTGAGCTGTCAAGGGGAGCTTAGACAGTGGCCAGCTGCACATAGTTACCCAATAATCTCATTGCTAAAATCTGCCTTGGTATCTTTCCATTAAAATTCTTTCAGACGGGGTGAAATAAAGGGCACTTGCAAAGGTGAGCAGCACAGAGACGGACCTCCGCACATCAGCCCCCATGTAATAATGTTTTCTCCCATCAGGAAGCCTCCCTGACCTTAAAGTTCCCAACTAAGAAGCTTATGAGGCTGATAAACATTTTCAGGATTTCATCAAATTTTTCTTTGAAGTTGTGTTCTCTGCAGAACTAATCACCATGGAGACCTTTATTTTTAAGGCTCATGAATCATGCATTTGGTAAGACTCCCACTCTCCTTTAAGCAGAAATGTTCACTGAGAAGATGGAGGTTTCACACAGACTTGCTCACTCGAGAGTGGATCATCTTCTCCTCCATCAGGAAACGCAATGCAGGTTCAAAGGGCAACCACAAAAAAAGAAGAAAACCTGCACATCAAAGATAGCTCCCTCGGTTTAGAAAATGACCACAAATGAAAAAGCTTATTAGGACTACTTTATCCAGCTGACCCCTCTCCTCTCTTTAAGAGAGACAGCGAGTGGTCAGAGGGATTAGTGCTGTTGTATTCAAACCAGTTCAGAGGGAACATGACAGGCGCTGGACTTGTCTTTGATGTTGAGCAGAGGGGGACCATGTCGGCTTGACTTTATGTGCTTGCCGACCTTTCCAGTTGTGGCGCAGGCTCATCTTTGATGGAACGGGCCCCCACAATAGAGAGGTCAGGGGTAGTTTTGTACGTTTGCCATCTCTTGGCTTCCCCTTTTTGTTTTTCTCCGTGCTCAGCAATTGCTTCCCTTTGAGTCACTCTTTGTTTCTGCCCCTTTTGATGCTAAAGTCTTTTCACAAAGTTTAGTACAACTTAAACGGCAGATGCACAGCTGGAGTCGGACAAGTTTATTATATTCTACATGAATGCAGGCAGTTACCGATTGAGGATTACTGCCACAATTCTCAATAAAAATTCTGAGGTCATGTTCCTCACTGCAAGTGATATCTCTTAATGCTATTTAATCATTACAAAGATGGATCCATTATACATTTTTTTATTATCGAGACCTGCAGACTTCATCTGAGGGTTTTTTTTTAATCGCTTCATAATGAAGTCACTCCAAATAACCGTCAGGATAAGAAGAAAAAGAAAGGATTAGCTTTCTTCACACGCTCTAGCTAAGTCAGTTTGCAGTAGAACCTGCTCTCCAGTGTCGAGTGAGATATAAATAGAGGCAATGGTAATTACAGTCTAAATACACTCTGAACACACACATGGACAGTAAGCTTTAACGTAGAGAATGTGTAACACTGCTTCTGCGGACTGAACTCTTATTGAGACTAAGTCATCATTGTCTTTCGATATTTTTACATCAAGATCTTTGTTTGAAAGAATCATCAAAATCCGAATGTGAAATCCAGGATAGGATGACAATAGGACATCTGTAACATATTGAAAGCAAGCAAACACACAAACGCCAGTGAGGAAACGAAGGCACAGAAGGCATCATAGCTTTTGCCAAAGATGGATACCAATTAAAGTCTAAAGTGGTTTTCAGCAAGTCACAGTTTGGGGTTTGGCTCTTTTCCTACATGTGTAGGATGTAAATCCAAAGTCCAGACCTCCCCTGTAAGCAGGGCCCATGACAGACGCTGCCCCGTCAAGCCGCCTGTTTTTTCTAACTTCTTCACAACTACTACAGCATGTCCCGCTCTTTCTTTTTCGGCCGACAGAGCTTGTCTTATGCCTCTCTTCATGTTCCTTGTTTGTATTGCTTGTGCCTCTCCGTCTTTAGCGTAGGTTGCTGCATGTTCTTGGGGTTCCTTGCTTCAAGTGTGAGAAAAACTGGAGTTCAGATATGAGATGTGGATTTACCATGTTGACAAGTGTGCGGGCAGAAACTCATTACCACCCTGATGAGAGGAGCTTTCCACTCCCACCCAGGGTGCAAAGCTTGCAGCACAAGGGAGGTCATACTTTTCCAAAGTCCTGCAGAGGAATGAGGATTGGTTTAACACATTCAGGCTAAATATTTTAAATATCTATTTATCTATGACATTACGTCTTGATGGAGCAGTTCTCACACAAGTTGCCCTTGACAGAATCCTGTAAGATGCATACCTTTTGCTGACATGTGCACCTAATTTAGACCCCCTGGCCTGTAAAAACAAATATTAAATTTCATGCCTGGTAACAGTTAAGAGTATGATCGGCATGGAGAGATTATTTTAATCCACTTAAAATAATTTTGCGTTCCTCAGTTGTTGTTGTTTTCTTTTTGCTATGGAAAATATTTTGCTATGGAAAATAATTATCTCAAAATGCCGTGTGTGTGGCTTTCCAGCTTTATCCTTTGTGTATGAGCATCGTTACGGTTAATCTATCCCTACTCCTGATGGGTTTGTATAGAGTATGCTAAGATCTGCCAAGATCCACAGGGAGACGTTACAGGCTTTTGGGGACAAGTGGCCACCAAAAACTCCACCAGAGGCTTACAGGTGTCTCTTCCATTGCAGCCGTATAAGCCTCTAACCTGCCTATCCTGTCAGAATTCAAGGAAACATACACCTGCAAACAATTACATTAAAAGTTTCATCAGCTGACAATTACAAATAATGAACAATTAATGAACAATTAGAAAATTTCTCAGTATTTGTCTGAGCTTCTTTTAATTGAACCATGTTTATTGTGCAAAGACAGGTCAGAGATGGCCCACTATCATATGAAAGAGCTGGGATAATCAAAACCACACAATGCACTTTACAACTTTCAGTTTTAATTAAGTTCAGTCCAACTGAGTAAAATTAACCTTATTCAGACTGAGAGAAAATTTACTCACAACAGCATCCATCTAATTCTCTTGCTCAGTCCTTTTAAGGGTTCTAAGGTTGTCAATTCTATCTGCCAGGGATTTGGCAGCACCTATGATCTAAGGAAAAAATGGTTTAAGCATCCTTTGTATTTACATCAACTTTATTTTATTCACATCTTTTTGATGTTGCAGTCTTTTCCATGTGTTTATTAGGCTTTAGGAGGCTCAGGTTAAGATATTTTCTTCCTTTTCATTATAAATTAATACAATCCTCCCTCAGCATGAGTGTAACAGCTGACTCTGGTCTTGTGAATCAGAATAGAAATGAAAATGGACTGTGTGGGTGTCCTTAATGGCTTTTGTTTTACACAAAGATGAGCAAATAGCTAAAGAGGAGAATAATGCTATCCATCAGGACAAAGTACCATGATATTGACAGAAATAAGTAGGGGTTTTTAAAGAATCACTCAGTCATCACTGATTCCCTTTAAATATTACAGTTAAGACTATGGTGAGTGATAATTGTGAGCTGTGATTTGAAAGTATTACCAAATCCGTTGTGGAGACTACACATTCCATTATGAAAAGTTTGTTGTAATGTATTCCCTTGCCCATAAAGTGAAACCAGATTCCCCCCACTCCGGAAACTTTGGCATGGGGGATGGGCTCTACAGCGAGTGGGACGGCTTTTGTTCCCTTGCTTACTGTACATATGAATGGGGCTGGACCGGAATGTCCAATCTCATGCATGTCAATTGTCTGAGGCCTGCGTTAAGGAGGATCTTTTGCTTGTATGGAAGTGGACAAAAGAGATAGAGAACACATTGACAAAGTGATGGAAAGACGAGGACACGAACAGGAAGAGATGAGCTGCCACTGACAAGTGTGAAAGATAGTAAACGGCACAGGCAGAGCATGAAGATGAAGAGCGTGGAGAAAACAGAGAAAAGGCCTCTGTGAAAATGCATGATCTTCCACTTCAGTGAGGCTTAGCTGAACCGTCCTCGACCACCACCTGCTCTTCTTTAAGAACATCCTGTCATTTAATACCTAATCCCTTCATTCACTGCAGTGTGTTTACTAACCATTGTCTCAACTCACTTCAAGCTGTGGTCAAGAGCTGGTTCAAAAGTTCGCAGGGTATGAAGAGCATGCAGACACTGAGGCATTGTAGGTGTCTTTGCTCCTGCCAGGCAATTGTCTGAGACAGAGAGGGAGATGAGCATGCAAGCTGAGGACGCGTCGGTTCCTGTCAGACACTACATTTACTTTTTTTTAAAGAGAGATTAAACAAAAACTGTATCAGATAGAATGTACAGTCCAACATGTTTGTTAATATAACATGTTGTCTGAAACAGAGAGATAGTGGGGATTGTACTGTTAAGAACTAACAGTTGCCCGCTGTTGTGCTGACAATGAGAGCATTGGAGAGATTGTGTAAATTAAGTATCATGTCAGTTTGGTATGTAGCCATGGCAGCGTTTGCCTATTAGCACTTCACACGAAACACAGCTGTGGCTGAAGGGAATGTGATCAGTTTTCCGGTGTCTGTTGATGCAAACAAAACCCAACTTCGAAGCTATTTGGAAACAAACCGATTTTCACCT